TATGCAGAAATAGTCAAAAAATAGCCGAAAAATCGTCCCTGAATCATTTGTTGACTCTTTTTGAGAAAATTCCTCGTGTAGAGGGACAGGCCCGACTTAACCCTCGCTCTCTCTCCCTCTCTCTCTCTCTCTGGCAACGCCCCCCCCTCCTCCGCCCTTGCCATCTCTGGGCTTCGCAGAAGCCGCTGCGGAGCAGAGCAAGGGGGCCCAGGTAGGGAAACGAACTCTATGCACCGACGCCTTTGTCTGGCCTCACACTGAATCTCGCACAGGAAAGCTGATCCTGGTGTATACGGGATCCTGGTGTACACATTCTTCGCTGTTTCACCTGGAAAACGGCGGAAAAAGCGTGCACCACACCACCCGGACGTCGCCCCCGACCCTCCAAAAGTCCTGGGACTGAGAAACCGCCCGCCACTGGTAATGTAGATGCTCCAGTTTCCGACGAGGGGCCTCGACCCCACCGCGGGGCCGGAGCGGCGGAATGGGATAGAACCCCTGAAGTGCCCAAGGACACACAAATAAGTACACACAAATAATAAGATTCCCCATATGTTCCTATAGCTTCTGGGTGTTTGGGTCTTCCCCCCCCACTTCTCATATCTTCCCATCTTTTCCTGGCACTCGACGATTGATTGTGTCTGTGTGTTTTTCCCCCCTCCTGAACCCTGGCCTCAGGAGCCGCGCTCTCCGCCCGTGCCCTGGCCTCCCCGGGCGCCCCGGGAGCGGGGGGGCAGCAGCAGGAGCCCGTTCGTTTTGTTCTTAAGTCGGGCATGTCCCTCCACAGGAGGAGAATTCGAAAAAACAGAAAAAACAACAACAACAACAACAAAAAAAAACACAAAAAAACTGGGGACGATTTTTCTGATCTTTTGTTGCTATGTTTGCATATGTTTGGGTTGTTTCTTCTTTTCTTCCAAAGTCAGCCTGTATGGGGACACGCCCGACCGAAGTTTATTCGGCCGGTCATGGGCGTGACCGCGGGGGGGGGTTACGCCGCGCCGGTCACGTCACGGCGGGGGTACGCCTGGGGTGCAGCATGCCCGTAAGCCCCGCAGTACGCCTGCGAAAAACAATCGCCTGCGAGCTGACAGTCACGACGTGCCTGTGACCAGCGCCACACAAGCTTGCGATCCGATCCACGCGACGTGCCTGTGAACACCACAACACCACAAATCCTGTGAACACCCCAAGATCGGCGACCGACCAAGCGTCACGCTCTCCCTGCAGAACTATCGAAGCCCAAGAAACCCACCCTGGAGGCAAGCAGGGGGTTTCTCAGCATGGGCTTCCGCTCCGGTCCCGGGCGGTCTCCACGCCCCAGCCCATGGGCGCGGAGCCACCTTGTTGGGCGCCGCCGGTCGGCTGCACGCGAGAGCGGCCCTGAGCAAGAGGGACCTTTGGTGCGCGGACTGCGGGAGCGCAAGGTGGCCAGATCCAAGCGCGCGAGCAGCCACTGTGGCTTTCTATTTGGACGCGGACTGACGACTAGCCGCAGCTCCCTGGAACAGTCGCCGACGAGCGAAGAGGGGGCCCGAAGGGGACCGAAAGGGACGACGGACGGGACCCAGGACCCAGAACGGAGCCGACCGAGGGGACCGACCGAAAAACAGAAGCCACGAAGGGGCCACTGTCGCATCGCGCTCAGCGAAACAGGGGGGCCCTGGTGAGCCCGTACCCGAGGTCCCTCCGGCGAAGAGCCACCTCGTTGCGAGCAGTCGAGCCAAGGAGGAGGCACCAGGGTGTTGGAGACCACCCCGGTCTCCTCGGGGGTCGGGGCATCTGCTCGCCCGGGTCAGTCCAGACCCGGGTCAGTCGGGCCATGCAGGATCCTGCTGGATCCTGCGGGAGCCCGCACCCAGGCCCAGGTCTGCGCGAGGGGTCCTGCAGGATCCTGCAGGAGCCTGCACCCAAAGGCCCGGGTCGGTGCGGCCCTGGCCCTGCAGGATCCTGCAAAATCGGGGCGCCCTGGCTGACCCCCGCTTGCATTCCCCCCTCTTAGAGGGCAGAAAATCCATCCCGACAACAATCACCCCGACAAGCGAAGCCGTTCCGCAAACGCGCCCAGGGAAGGGATCGAACAGGGCGGCGCTGTTCCGCAAACGCCCAGGGCCACTCAGTAAACGTCAGCTGTCGGGTCTGGGCGCTTTTTCCCCCCTTGACCCTCGCTCGCCGCCGACGGCATCGGACGCTCTGACCGACCCCGATTGCATTGCCCCCCGCCGCGAGGCTCCCGACGGGGGGCCTACCGAGGCCCGCCGGAACTGCCCGGGGGGAGGGGGGCGCCGCTCCTGCGCGGCCCGAAGGGCCGCACACGCAGCGCGCGCGCGCGCGCCACGGAGAACACGCACGGCCTTGCCAGCGCGAGTTTGTGGGCGCTCCGCGAGGCTCGACGGTGCTCCCTCGTGAGGCATCGCACGGGCCTGCTGGAACCCGCTCTGGTCGGGCGCCTGCGAGGCCGGGCTTCAGGGCTGAACCTGAACGGTGTTTTTCGTTTTTGTTTGTTTTCGTTTTCCCTCGTTTTGTCTTCAATCCGCCTTTACCGCAAAACGAAATCGAAGCGAAAACGGCCCACGAAATCGCAAAAACACCGTTTAGGCCCAGCCCTGTTGGGTTTAGTGGGACCTGGTTTCGTGATGTGTGCTGGGGGACGCCCTCCCGCCCGCCCCGCTCCACGAACCGGGACTGCCGTCCCTGGGGCCGCTTCCAGGGCTCTCGGAGGCCACTGTGGAGCTGCCTGAGGGCCTCGAGATGACCCTCTGTCGACTGCAGGGCTCGCGCTGTCGAGCAACCAACCGGTTTTGGGCGCGCGAGCCCATGGTCCTCTGCGAATCTCTCAGGGAACCTTGTCGGTGGCCTCTCCGAGTCGTCTCTGGGGGCCCTTTCCAAGTCCCACCGTAGGTGGTTTTTCAATTTGAAGGGGGCTGGAAGGCCGAGCCAACAGTTTCGCCTCAGGCGAAGCCAATCTCCCGCTCTGTTGTACAGCAGTACCGATAGTCCCAGTATGAGAGTAGATGCCATCTCAAGCAATAGGAAGATCCTTTTGGTCTCGATAGCGGTTGCGCGCCTCGCAGTGAGGCACAGTCAAATTTGGGCGGCCGGCCGCTAGAGTCGACGCGGCCGCGGGCGCACGTTCGTTTCCACTCCTTACGTCCCTCAGCTCGCTTTAGAGTCGGGGGGGAGGGAGACGAAGCGTGAACCCGTCGCCCCTATACAGCAGGCATAGCAGCTAACCTACACAAGGACAGAAAAGGAAGCGGGCCCAAAGAAAGGTGGGCCCGCTAGCAAGTTGCCTGGCTTGTGTATGACGTACTTATCAGGCGGCGTCAAAATTTGATGTCTGGCCGACCCGATATGGAGTATGTCTCTTCAGGTCATGTTTGAAGGTCTGTATACCTCCCATGACTTGTAGGAGCATTTCTCTGTCGATGCTCCCCTTGGTGTGGCCATCCGCAGTCACATCGCGGGTATTACACCACTGAATGCTGTGCACGATTCCACGCTCCATCATCTGTCGTATCCAAATGATGTGTCCGAAAAGGGAAGCTCCCAAGAGCGTCCCAAGAGGGCCCCAAGAGGCGCCCAGACGGCCCCAAGAGGCATCCAAGAGGCTCCCAAGATACCCCCAAGAGGCCCCCAAGAGGCTTCAAGAGGACTCCCAAGGCACCCAAGAAGCCCCCCAGAGGCTTGCAAAAAAAAACTCCCAAGTGACACCCTAGGAGGTTATTATGATCGTCATGTTTTGTTTGTCCTCCTCATCCTTCTCCTCCTCCTCCTCCTTATCCGTATCCTTATCCTTATTATTATCCTTATCCTTATCCTTATCCTTGTCCACCTCCTCCTCCTCCTTTCCCTCTACTGTTTCAGCCTACACCTCCTCCTCGTTTCCTCTCCTCTCCCTCCCCTCCATCCTCTTCCCCCTCCTCCTACCCCTCCTTGTCCACTTCCTCCTCCTCCTCCTCCTCCGCCCCCCCTCCCCCCTCGCGGCGAAAGCAGCGACGACAGAGTCGACGACGACGACGAAGACAACGACGACGATGACGACGGCAGCAGCGGCGGCGGGAAAAAGGGGCGGAAGTCAGAGCAGCAGCAGCAGCACCACCACCAGCAATACCAGCAACAGCATCAGCACCAACAGCAGCACCCGCACCATTCGCTACCAGATGTATCCCAATTCACCGTTGTTTCCCACGCTGTTTCACTATGCGCGTCTCTTCATCCCTTCTCCCGTCAGCTCTCCTGGACGTCGTTTCTGGGTGGGCTTGTGGGGATTTTTTGGGGGGGTCGCGGCCGCAGGCGAGAGCGCAAGCGGCGAGTCGTAAGTCCGGGGCGCGGGCCTACTAATTGACAACAGGAGCAAACTAGAGCCGCGCACCTAAACTGCCTAAACTGCCTAAGCGGCGCCTCAAGGGGGCTGCTTGTGGGGATACGCGAAGCGTCAAGAATTTCTTTGAAGCTTTGAGGGGGGCTACCCGAGGGCTATGTGGAACTATATGATCAGGGCTCGCGCTGTCAAATGCGCGCCTTGAAGAGCCCGAGCCTTGGCGCTTTGCAAAGCTCGTTGGAGTCCCTTTGAGGCGGGGGTCATCTTTGGGGCCACTTCAATAAATGGCTCCTAGAAGCCTCTGTGAAGCTAGTTACCTGGGGGCTGAAGGGGGCTCTCCGGCGGCGAGCCTTGGTGCTGTTCGAAGCTCGCTGAAGTCTCCTCGGAAACTTCTCAGGGGCCTCTCCGAGCTGGCTCTTGGCTTTTTCTCTGTCTCTTGGAGGCTTCAAGGGAGCTGCCTGAGGGCTGCATGAAGCTTTGTGGTAACGACAGGGTGTCTCGTGGAGCTTTCTTGGGCTCGCTAGATAGGCTCGCAAAGCCTTTTCGCTTTGACAGCGAAGCCGCTATGTCTCGGGTGGCGAAAGCCTACCCGCGCAGACCCTAGGCAGGTCCACGTAACGAGTGCTGAGTCTCAGCTGCAAGTAACAAGACTGTAAACGACAAGATCGGCTGGCGCATGATGCCTGAAAAAATCGCGGCATCGTGGCAGGACGAGGCAGCTCGCCCACCTCGGCCTCTCGCGGATCAGATGTGCTCCGCCTCTGCGTCTGCACAGCCATCGCCCGGCGGCTCTCTGCTCTCCCTTCCCTGCGACTCACGGCGCCCACGAGGGTTGCAGGCATCCCAGTCGCCCAAGAAGCAGCGCACCACCACGGGGCCTACCAGAGGCACGCGAGCGACGCCGGCAGGTCCTGCCAAGCTGAGGCTCAAAACGAAAGGACCCGTGCACAGAGCACAGATAACTATCGCCGCGCAGTTGTCAAACACCCACACCGTCAAGGAAATGATCATGGCCAGAAGGGACTTCGCGGCGAACGCCCTGCGGTCTGGGCCCAGCAGGAAGGCAAACGAGACAAACCAGATAGTTGCCTCAAGGATGCACAAGTAAGCGGTGGCCCCAGTAGCGAAAGTGCACGAATGACCCCACCAAACCAAATGAGCAGGGAGCCAAACCCAAATCCCGCCTGCATGGATGATGACCGAAGCCGTGCACCAGTTGCTGACGTTGCCGAGTCTCCCCGCCCGCTCCGCCGCACTGCGCAGGTGGGCCGTGGAGAGGCCTGTGCGAATCAGAACGTCCACGCAGTGGTCTACAGCAAGCTCTTGCCCGTGCAATTCATGACGAATGCGTTCACCGTCCTCTCGCACGGAGCATCGTGCGTCGCGAACGCGGCCCGTGTAGCCTGCGCTCAGGTTCGCCTTCTCTTGAGCGGCTCCGACGGCCCATAAACGGTCGGCTTCCAGACACATGCTGTAAGCAACGGCAAGGAAGATGCCAAACCAATTGATGGGAAATGTGCTGTCCATCTGCCAAATGAACCCGACGAGGACGCCAGACGTATGTGCTGCCACTGTGCACGAATGGCGGCAAGTCGGGGATGCTGGTTTCTTCCGCCTGACAGTGTATGCCACGTTTGCTCCAATAGTCAAGCCAAGTAGAAGGCTCTGAAGCTGATTCCCATTGTGTTCGAGGCCATAAAATACCATGAGAAGCCAGCATGCAGCGCCGATGCTGATTCCAACGAAGCACACACCCGAATGGGATGCCACGCGAGGCCAGAAACCATGCACTGGACTTGACGCGCAGAAGATCCGCTTGTCCCAGTTGTATGCCAAATACGCCTCGTAGGTGCACCAAATCCTGCTGTAGACGCTTCCTTTTCTGTTGGATACGACCATTACGTCTTTTGCAAAACCTAACGCGCGGGCAAACGGAGAGTCCAATGGGCGTGATATTAAATCCGCTATATCCAGATTTTGGGGATTGGACAAGAAGCACAGGTACGCATGCTTTCTGCCAGCAGGCCACGAATGCACAACCTTGTCTAAAAGCTCATAGATGCCCTCCTGCCAGCTGTGTGAGATGAAAAGGTCGCATTCAAGGCCCTCGGGATGGAGCATAAGAGCCCAGCTCATGTTCCCAGCGCGGGAAGTTATGGGAATTATGTATTGCTCGCTGACGCTGTAGAGACTCGGTCCTACCGTATCCTCTGCTGGCTCGAACGGGTCTTGCAGGCTGGGCTGGATGCGCCCGTCCAAAACTGCTCGCCACACCAGTTTTCTGAGTTGTTGCAGGTCGTCTCGCGTCACACACCAATTCTGCGGAGGGACGCTGCGATGCAGTTGGCTCGCATCAAGTTTGGTCGTGGAGTGATCAGGGCATCCATTCTCCGCGATACAATCGATCGGCTTAGTGCAAGCCTCAAGTCGGTGTCGACCTCCTACAATAAGCACTGCCCCAAAGGCGCAAATGAACACAGCGACAAAACAAGAAGCCCTCATGTACGCGGAGCTGTAGTTTCCACAGCCGTCTCTGTCAAACGTGAAGCGCGCAGGATGGAAAACTCCGGTCCCCAGAAGACTCACGTTGCGCGAGTCATGCACCACGCAACACGTGTAACGGTGAAGCCGTTGCGAATAACCTGCGGGTTGCGAAGGTTTGTCAAGGACGCGCGCGGTGCCCTTCTCGCAAGAGCACGGCTGAGTTTCTGTTCCTGCCAGACAGTCCGTCCAAGCATCGCTGCACCAGCTTCCGTCACAGATGACGTCCGCTTTGAGTAACCAGCAGTTTTGCTGGAACACCAGATAACTAAGAAAGCGCAAACTTGGGATCGTGAACATCTGTAGTGCTCCCTTGTTTTTACGCCCGACGCACTGTCGATCGTTGGATCAAGCGGCGTTCTATCGATCCGCGAACAGCAGAAATGGGACCAACGACTTGAGCGAGGTTTGAACCCAAAGGGGCGATTATGCAAGCCTTCGGGACAGTCGTGGACGCTCTTGAGGCAGAAAGGTCGGCAAGCCACAAGCAGGCATGCAAAATCCGCCAACCCCCACTTGCCGGGGGTCCAGAGGCGCGTGAGGCACTTGGCTGGCCCCTCCCTCCCCCCCTCCCTCAGGGTCCAGACTCGAATCTCGTTGAAGTGGTGGGAGGTGGGGCGGGAGGGGGGACTCGGACTGGGGGGGGGACGAGCTCGTCAACGCACCTCCTCCTCCTCCTCCTCCTCCTCCTCCTCCTCCTCCTCCTCCTCCTCCTCCACCTCCTCCACCTCCTCCTCCTCCTCCTGCCCTCGGAGCCTCGAAACCCACCACCCGCGGCCTCCCAGATGCCCCAGATGCCTCCCAAAACGGCTCAAGAAGGGCTTCCGGCACTGGGAACGTGCTGCACGCGGCCAACGGGCCGGTGCAGCTCAGGTTCGGGCCTCGCCAAGCTTCGAGAGACGGCGAGGACTTTGCGATTCCTGTGTTGGCGTTTCTCGGGGTGGGACCATTCGAGCTCTATCTTGGTTGCCTGTCGACCCTGAATGTCCTGAATCGTGGCCCGGGATCTGGAATTTCCTCGGGCTCACCGAGGGCCCACATGCGGGCCCCTTTGGGGGTACCTTCGAGGCCTCAGACATTCAGGCGTATAAGACTTCAGCTCACCCTACGGCATCCGACATCGACGAGGGGCGCTCGACGCGGTGGGAGCGCAAGGCCAGTCCGTTAGCTGACACGCACGCGAAAGCTGGCGCGATGATGCACGGAGTCACAGAAGGGCACGCGTGCCTTCTGAAAGGGCCTCGGCACCCTCGCCGAGGAATCTTGCAGGTGGGCGGCCACGTGAGAAGTGATTCTCTCGCAAGCGTCGGCTGAGAGGAGAGACACGGTCGGACTGGTCCCTGTCCCTGGCGGCGGCTGCCGCTGCTGGAGCAGCCAGCAGCGCCGCGGTCATCGACGAGCTGCCGGCGGACGGCCTTGGAGGCCCAGGAGCCCGCGCCCGTGATGGAGGTGGACGGGGTCGTCGAGGCGTCGTCGGGAGTCGCGGAGGAGGAGGTTCGGGGGCGCGCAAACATGGATTAGCGATCCATGGATCTGACGCGCGGTCGCCAAATCCATGGATCGGGGGAGATGCCCTCCCCCAAATGCGGCCGGCGCCGCCTCGCTCGGCGGGGGAAACCCGCGATCTCCCATGGACACGGGACCCGTCGCTAGTCCACGCCCCTGAATGCATGCTTGCGATCGCCTGAGAGGTCTAGTTCAATCCCAGCTGGGAGGATCAGATCCCCCGGGCTTTCTGCGCCCTCACAACCCATTACCAGCCTGGAACATCTCCCTATCCCTATGCTGGGCACCTCCTCATCACGATGCCAATCTTAGGGATTCCCTTCTTTCTTGAGGGCGAATCCCTAAGATTGCCATCGCCTTTTGGCGTGTCAATCTTAGGGATAGGGATACGTTCGAGGCTGGTAAACCCAGGCCACGACGAGGCCACGACGTGCCCAGCCCCTCGCGGCCCGCCGAGCTCGAGCGCGAGCGGGCCGCGCCCGAGCGACGGAGATCGTGCCTCGGCCCGAGGCGAGCGGCGGCCCAGCGCCTGCAGCGGAGGCCGGATGGTCGGATCCCCCAGGCTTGCTGCGTTTTGGGAGGAGGAGGAGGAGGAGGAGGAGGAGGAGGAGGAGGAGGAGGAGGAGGGGGGAGGAGGAGGGGGAGGAGGAGGAGGGGGGAGGCCGGATGGTCGGATCCCCCGGGCCTGCTGCGCTTTCGGGTCCGGTGCCGCGCGGTGCGCGATCGAGCGCCGCCCTCGCGCGAGGGGCCGTCCACTGGTAGTGCTGCTGCAGTCGCTCTGCGGGGCCCCGCGGCGCTCCGACGGCAGGCCAGGGCCCCGCACGCCAGAGAGGTGCCAGGGGGGCCGCTGTGGAGCAGGTGAGCGCTTGTCTTATCCGGCATCTCGGCATCTCGACGCTGGGCGGAAAGGGGGGGGAGGGAGGGGGGGTCTGGCTCCAGACCTCTGCTTTTGGTGCGACTGCTTGCAAGAGTGCCGCCTCTGGGCGAGACTCCACCTGCCCGAAACAGATACACGTGGGGGGGGTGCAAGGGCCCGCGCCGAGCTGCAAATCAACGAGTAAAAAAACGACCACCTGTAGAGCAGTCGGTTCAGGCAGTGCCTCAAGCACGATGCCTCGAGGAGGCCAGCGACGGCCACGCCAGGCGGAGCCCTCTGCTCGACGCGTGCGCCCTCACGGCCAGGTTTCCAGCCAACGAGGGCCGGAAAGGTGCATCGAGGAAGGTCCGCTGCACCGACAGGGGGCCCAGCGGCTGCGGGACTTCGGAGACCAGACGAGCCGAGTTCTGCACGGTTTCCCCCGGGGCCGTAGGCGACGCGAGGAGGTGAGGGAGGAGAAGGACGAGGAGGAGGAGGAGGAGGAGGAGGAGGAGGAGGAAGAGGGTAGGAGGAGGTATGGAGAAGAGGGGGGGAGGAGGAGGAGGAGGAGGAGGAGGAGGAGGAGGGAGGAGGCGGAGGAGGCGGAGGAGGAGGAGGAGGAGATAAGGAGGAGGAGGAAAGGAGGGGGAGGACGGATGGAGAGAGGATAGGGCAGGCATGGAGGCAGGGAGGAGAGAGGATGAGTCCTCGTCCCCTCCTCCTCCTCCTACTCCCTCCTCTCCTCCTCTCCTCCTCCTCCTCTCCTCTCCGTCCTCCTCCTCCTCCTCCTCATCCTCCTCCTCCTCTCTTCCTTCTCCTCCTCCTCCCTCCTCCTCCTCCTTCCTCCTCCTCCTCCCTTTCCTCCCCCGTCCTCCCTCCTCCCGCCCCGTCCGTCCCTCCCGCCTCTGTCTTCCTGGTTTTCGGTCCTCTACTGACTCTTCCCTCCTCCTCTCTCCTCCTCCGCCTCCTCCTCCTCCTCCTCAGCGCAGCAGCAGCAGCATCACCCATCACCATCACCTCCACCATCCCCATCCATCATCACCACACCATCACATCACCATCCCATCACCATCACCAATCACCATCACCATCACCATCACCATCTTACCATCACCCTCTCACCATCATCATCATCATCATCATCATCATCATCATCTCATCATCACATCATCATCATCATCATCATCATCAATCATCATCACAAT